CTGAGATGGCGCGTCGCAATCCATTCACACAACGAGTGCTTCTAAATGACTCTCTAATCAATATCCCACTGGTATGTTTCGTTTGATCAGCATTGGCAATAATTGCCAAGTCTCTTGATTGCCTCCGAGATATCCAGTCCCTGCTCATCCCCATGACTGAGGTTCAAAATTTCAGTACTCACCTGGCATCGCCATCAACAGCATGTCTGAAGACAGCCAGTTGGTACGGCATCGGATAGGAATCCAACTATGTCGTCGGTACAAAATCCGTCCAGCTTGCTTTTCACATCCTCCGGTTGTCCGGTAGCTGCATTCCGTCATTCGCAGGGCATCGGCAGTGGAATAGACGGTGATCCACCAAAAGTGAGCGGGGTACGGTGTGGCGGTTTCTACTCGATGACTTCTAACAATCCAAATAATATCTGGTTGTTGATCAAAATCTGCTATTTGTAAAGCAAGTTATCGTTTATCCTGTACGTAAGTGGTAGGCGCTATTTGGTACACGACGTCTTCCGTTGGATACTTTTCACCTTTTGCGTCTTTTGCGGTTTGTTTGTGTACATTGGTTCGGATGTTCTGCTTGCTTTAATCGAGTTCTGCTCCGACTGCTTTTGCTGCCCCGAGTCATGCTCGAATGCATCAGCTCCTCTTTGCCTCTTTAGCTAGCGCACACGCGTCGTCCGCTCGAGACTGTTTTAGCCAATCCGCTTCGTCGAGTTTCGGAACAAAGCTGTGTTTCGTTCCTTCCAGATAGAGCCGATCAGGTATACATTATTAGAGTGATGTACACGCATAGCACAGACAGAGTGAGGGTATATGGCAAACTGGTGCTGTCATTCAGTATCTCCAGTGGGGTGAGATAAGGTCGCCAGCTGATGCCTTTCCTCTTTAAATTCGCCATTGACGAAGTGATGCTAAGGCGTTCACTGGACACGACTTACACGGTGTGGAGCTGTGACAGCTCCCAAACGTGCCAGGTATCACTGGACAGATTAACTTTGGTTGTCAGTCGTTTTGGGTGATGTTTTGCTCCTTTGAAATGCAAAGTCCTTCGCCAAGATTGGCAGGGACCCATCTCTGCACCGACTTTTAATGGTGATCAGCTAGAAGTCGCCCAGTAAGTTAAGTACTTGAACAGCTATATCAGCGGCTGTGAGATAGAAGATGCCATCACGAACAGCATAGCAAAAGCTCGAGACGCTTTTGCTGCTTTTGATCACCAGTGGCACCGGCGTGACATCTCTCACCCTGAAGGGCAGTGTTTACAATGCACCCGTCCTTTCAAGCCTCCTGTACGGTTGTAAAAGCTTGCCTATCAGATTGATAGATCTGGAGAGACTTGTTACCTTCGACCAACGCTTCCTTCGCAGCTTGGATCATATCTGATGGGAAGACAGCGTGAGCAATGACTGCGTTCGGCGTGTTGCATTTGGAGCAGGAATATTGAGTGGGCCGCTCAACACCGTCATATTACGGACCGGGCTCCGATGGTTAGATCACGTGTTACGCATGCCGACACACCTGACTCGCGCGACTGCGTTGTTTGCGCACCCGGAGTCTGGATAGAAAAATAAGAGGGGAAGCCAAATGATGATCTGGTCAAAAGGTACTAAAACCTTTATTGCGAATTTGGTGTCTGTTGGTGCTTCTCGACTACCGTGCTCGGGTCCCAAAGAGGTTGAACACATTTGGTTGAATACAGTTGTCGAAATGGGGAAAAGCCGAGGTTAATGGCGCTTGTGCCGCGGTTTTCTCTCTCCTCCCCCTGACTGACTGGCAATCGTGAAAGCCAGATTCGTGAAGAGCAAGCTGGATTTCGTCGAGGTCGTGGCTGCATTGACCACATCACCTTGCGTCAGTTGTTGGAGCACCGTTACATGTATTGGCGGCCCACCATTGTCGCGTTCCTCGATATCAAAGGTGCATTCGATTCTGTGGATAGACATGCACTTTGGGACTGTCTACTCAGGAAAGGTGTCCCTGCGAAATATGTAAATATTATCCGAGCACTATATGCGCGCAGCTCGGGCAGAATGAGGGCTTACGGCAAGTTGTCGTGACCCTTGAATATCTCCAGCGGTGTGAGACAAGGATGCCCGCTGTCACCTTTCCTCTTCAACTTTGCTGTTGACGAAGTCATGGAAATCGCGTTCACAGGACACGACTTAGAAGGTGTGGAGCTACTCCCAGGAGAACGACTTCTTGACTTAGAGTATGCTGATGATATTGCCCGAATCTGTGACAGCTCACAAATGTGCCAAGCGGCACTGGACAGATTAGCACTAACTGTCCGGCACTTCGGGCTTTGCTTCGCACCCTCGAAGTGCAAAGCGTTCCTCCATGATTGGACTGGACCGCCCCCTACGCTGACCGTTGGTGAAGATCAGCTAGAAGTCGTTCAAAAATTCAACTACCTGGAAGGTTGTATCAGCGCCCGTGGGATTGAAGATGAGATCACGAACCGTATAGCAAAAGCTCGGGGCGCTTTTGTTAACCTTCGTCACTTATGGCGCCGGCGCGACATCACTCACCCTGAAGGGCAGAGTGTACAATGCAGCAGTACGTTCGACCCTACTGTACTGAGGTGTTCACCACCTCCAGCTAACGTGTATGATGATGATGATGATCTTGTATTGCGACACTGGCTGATGAAGATGATGGTCCTGATTCCTCTCTCGGTCTCGTCCACCAGTTATCAATTTCCGCCGACGACGGCTTCTTAGGTTTTGAGTTGAGTACCACCTATTGGTTGGCTTTACTCAAACAATCAACTAGTGCCTCTTAAGTGAATCCGTTTGTGACGGGCAATTAACGAGTGGTTGCTACGGATTCAAGATAAACCAGTGCGGTCAGTTGGGGTAACGACAACCTATGGGGATGGTAAGACAATATGTTGTCGGTCAAAATCAGACTGTACAAATATGCACAGTAGCTAGGCAAGCAATATGGAGTAAAGATTTTAGTTGCTGAGAAGTTCGCGGAGCCTGGGAATTTGTTTGCTAACGTTTCACCACCATGCGAGGTGGCAACCGAGTAGTATCTCGCCCTCTGACGAAACCATGGACTTTAATGCGTTGTGTTTTCTTTTACAATTTCTGTACCTTCTTTGTGTTCCATGGTTTCTGATGGATCTATGTCTATTCATAGACTGTTGCAAATATATGCGAGGTGGCATCGTTAATGCGCTGAGATGCAGAGTGTAATCTCGCTGATTGAACTGTCGATCGGAAACCAAGCGCTTTGTCGCTTACATAAATATTTCGATGATCCACACTAAAGGTCTACGACATTTTCTAAGGACAGAAGATGGATGGTCACCGCCAGTCTGAGAGCACCTCATCAATAACCCATACAAACACAGAGCGACTAGACTAACCATAAATGTAGCACCCACGTCTTCCAGTGACTATTTCAATTAGCCTACGTGCCTTGTTTCGCCGCAACAATGCGAGTACACGTAGGATTTCTGCGATGTTCGGAGCCACCTTTAGATGGTTCAGTTGATTCAGCAAACAGGGCAACACAAAAGCACGCGGGATATTTTCCGAAATGTTACGCCTTACACTTGATCGCTGAATCAGAATGGACTAAGGTTAATTTCTTGGACACACAGCAACAGCAGGCACATGATGCGGTTTCTGCCCATTGCACTTTCTTTCTTTGTGTTCTTGACTAATGTTGTCTATCAACAATCTAAATCCATCCTAAGAGACTCAATCGAACACCGCTTCATAATGCTGCAAATATACTGAAACCGGTCACCCGGTGAAAGTATCCTTCTTGCTTTGAGCAACTTGATAGATGATTCGGATGGTTCAATCTAGGAGGCACCCTGCTCCAAGTGAACCATCATTGTGGGATGGAAGCAACTCCCATTCGGCCGATTATCTGCATTTGTTAATGGCAGTCGGCCTTTCAACGTGAACTCATTGCGTTCTTTCACGGAGCGTGAGTTCAGGTGACGGGTACGCAGTCTCGGGCTTGGGCGCTTCGCTGAAGTCAACGACGCAAGCGTCGTGAGTGCGCACTATGTGGATATACCTGGATATGTCTGGCAACCATACACTGATGCGTGCCACTTTTAGCAGATGATGATGTGATTAGATTGGCTTCAGGATATCGTATATTCTGCGATGGACACGAGAAGTAAACGCTTGTCCTGGAAGGCAGTGGTGTTGTTGGCATTTAATTTGAAAAACCCGGCTAGCACGATCAGTTTGGTAGGTATCAAATTCAAAACATCCTCCGAATAGTCATTCGGTCCTCGATAACCTGTATACTTGGACATTCGAGTCACTTGATGCGATCACAATGCAGATGTTTTGGAGTACGCAGGTGTTTAAACAGTAGCCAGTGGGTGTGCACGAGACCTGATAAGCGAAACGTTAATGCCGCAGTTGCCACAAGTCACTAACTGGAGATCGCCAAAGACGGTGTACGGTAATGGATACCAAAATTCGAACCACACATACGAAGATTGGACAAAACGCTAAGGTCGCAAATGTGTGCCATGGAGACACAGTGAACATTTATTCCGAAAGTGTTAAAAGAGAGCCGGGGGCAAATTGACAGACGTTATATGAAAGCTGAAGGCTGAAAGGAGCCGAGATTTTCGCGTTGATATAGGATTCAAGTATACCATCAGAACAGGATGGTCAACCTAAGAAGAACAGATTTACAGCGTGAAAAAGAAGGGATGTAAAATTGACAACCCAGAAGATCTGACTAGGCGAGTTTGCACCTCATTTAGGTGGTGGTCACCTGATTTAAGCCAAGTAATAGCAGATCAGTTGCCAACGGAGGTTCGGTTAGTGCCAAAAGAAAACCATGATCTTCTGGGCCGAGATAAAAATATAAGCCGCAAAGTGACATACTCCAAGACTGTTTTGAGAGGGTAAGGTTATCGACCTATCACCAACCTCTTATAAGGAGGTTTGGACGGCTGGCAATCAGCATCGCAGTATAAAAAGTAAAGATGAATGAGAGCTGAAACAACTCACAACGCCGCGCAGCACTTTCACAGACGGAAAGCAATTGTCCATTCCATTCACATGGTAACACGATGATCTAGGAGTAAGAAATAAAGCAAATAGGTGAATAGATAAACGAGACCGAGTGGAGGCAAAATATAAATGCTATCGTCAAAAATGTGGGTAGTGGAGAATCCAATAAAAACATGAGGAGTCTAGTGTGAGACACCGAATAACACTGGCATTGTCACGGAGTAAGTAACAAGTGTTGTTTGCATCACTAAGACTGGCAGCAACGAGACCCCACTTTATCATGATACAACGGTTTGGATGCCCCTGCGAATTATACGCGGAGTCGTTCATGGGCTACTTGAGAGCTAATCCTAACAAGCTAGTTGATGATTAGTGGCCAAAAAAACCCGATGTTCCGACTCTGCGGACTAAAATTTTGTGATGAGGTGGCAATCATTTTCGAACTATCGTAGTCGCACTGCTTTCCGGCCAGACCTTGCAGTCAAGCTTGACTGCCTTGACAGCAAATATCCCAACGCGCACGCACCGATAACCTTCACATCAAAGTTAAGCCTCCACCCGCATGAACTGACATTGCCTTAACAGATGCACACAGCAGGGTGGATAGGCGATTACAAGAGATTGTTGATGTTTCGCTTTCCATTGTTCTATCTGCTTCTTTCAAGCTTCCCACTATCCCCATTACTAACCTTCCAAAAACAGTACCCATCGTAATTGGTTGTAGCTACGACACTACTAGATTTATGCCGTCCGTGAGCATAGTACCAAAGTGCCAACCAGAGGCATAGCAACAACATCCCGTGTCAAGCAATGCTGCCTGACTTTCATGGAAACGTTCAAAATTCGTACCCTAAGACAGGTGGGTCGAAAGGCGGCACGTTCACTTACACTGGATACCCCCAGTGCCGATGTGTGCTACTTGTTACAAAGCGGGGTACACAACCATTTGGTAGGTGAATGAACTACACCCGGGTTATCGCTTCGCCATTGGTTGAACGGATCTGGAGATGCTGATGCAGCGGCAGTTCAAGTAGAAGTGATCATTCTCAGTTCCACAGTTGAATCCTTGATGGCCAACTGAAATCCAGTGAACGGGAGGGATTTGACAGTCAACCAGGGGAAACACGTAGAGCAGCGGAGCCCGTGGCCTAAAGGATCACAATACTGCCTAGTAATCCGGGGGCGCGGATTCGGGCTTGCGTAGGGGACCGCGTGACTATCGCAGTATTCGTAACCCATGCGCGACTGTTGGTGACTGCGCAACAGCGAAGCATCGGTACTGCGTAGCGGCGTACTGCTGATACTATACTACACGGAGAAACGTCAAACGTTGCTTGTAGTCGTCGTTTGCGCCCAATTGATTGCGGCCAACCGAACAAAGCGCAAGTATTCGAAGAAAGCACTCCCACCGGAAGAAGTTGGAAGTGAAACGGAACTGTTGAAAATCGATAATGTCGTGGGATCAAATGAACTTGCTAAGCACTCTTCAAGTTCGGGGAATTCTCTCGCGTAGACGAACTAAACGAGCTGTTAGACAGTGGGAACAGGAAACTGTCGTAATCGACTAGGGCTGTACTGTCACAGTCCCGATTTGGAAAAGTGACTCGCATTCGGGGTGCAGCAACTTTAGAGGTATGCGACTATAAGTTGCATGACACATTCTCCACAGATTGACCGTCTACGTAAACAGCATGTCGATTTTCATCGAAACCGGCGTAGCATTGATCACAGCTTCATTTAACGTCAGTTGTTTGAGCACAATCACTTATGCTGGAAACCAACCGTAGCTGTGTTCCTCCAGATCAAAGGTAAGTTCGATTCGGTAGATCGATGTGCGCTTTAGGACTGCGATTAGGAGAGAAGCATCGGAGAAATACGTAAACATTAGCAAAGTACTTTACGTGCGTAGCACGTACAGAATGATGTCTATAGCAAACTATCGCCGCCACTCCATATCACCAGCAATGTGAGACAGTTCGCTATCCCCCTTTTTTGATTCCGCTATGGAAAATGCGTTTACCAAATTCGATTTAGGTATGGAGTTGATCCCAGGTGATCGATTTCTTGACTTGGAGTATGCCAACAACACTGCTCCAATCGGCGAAGATTTACAAACGTACGAAAGAGCAATGAGCAGAGTATCAGTGGTTGTCAATCAATTCAGGCAGTGTTTCGAGCTCTCCAAAGGCAAGGCTTTCCTCTAGGATTGGCAGGGACCAACCTCTGCGCTGATCCTCGGTGGAAACAGCTAGAATTCGATAAGAATTTGAACTACCTGAGAAGCTACATCCGCGGCTGTGGAACAGAATACGATATCCCAAAGCGTAAAGCGAGTTGGAGGTAAGTTATTAATATTTGCCACTTGTGGCACCAGGATGAAGGTATGAAGGATAGAGTCTATCATGCAGCAGTCCCTTCAATCTACCTGTACGGTTGTGAAATAAGGTCCGTCAAACCGACAAACGAAAGGAGCCCAATTGTGTTCGACCACTGTTCCCTTCGCAGTTTAGTTCATGGGTAGTGGGAGCGCCGGGTGAACAATGAGTGTTGGGCGCCGTGTATTTGGTGCAGGAAGAGCAAGCGAACCGCTCAGCATTGTTATTTCACGAACCAGGCGCCCATGGCTGGGTCACGTGTTTCGCATCTCAGAACACCGACTCCCGCGACGAGTGTGGATGGAAGGGGCGGAAGCAAAGCTATGACATGGTCAAGTATGAATTACTTTACCTGGAAAATAGCGTCGGGTGGCGTCTCCCGACTGCGGGGTTGCGGTCTGAATGAGGATGAACAGATCTGGTTGAATATGCTGTAGTTGACATGACAAGGAGCCGACTTCAATGGTGTTTGTCTTATGAGTTTATTTGTCGTACCCATCCCAGTTGTCTTCCCCCTCTAAGCACGATAACTCTCCTAGAACATAATATGCTAGTAATCAGTGTGTTGCCAGCATTTGTATTCTATAAGTTTTAGTAGCTCGCTTTTTCGTATATCGACTTGCAATGCGGCACAATAGTTGAAGTGTGATTTTATCTTCAGCTAATGTGTAGTGATGATGATGCAGCTGGTACAGGACCGGACCGAATCACCACTGGTTCAGGTAAGAAAGCATCATCATCATCATCACCGGAGGCCACAGCCTCCGGTTTGAAATATATCGCTCCGCTCGCAGGCCAGTTTGTTCAAGTTTGTTGTGTCATATATTGGTATCAGTTGTCATAAATTATATTGTTCTCTATAATTTTTGATTCGGCATTATCCAGTAATATATTTTGATCCATTTTGCCGTCATTTTCTCGTTTTTGTCTGCCTAGCGTTTCGTCGATCCTGGTGGTAACTTGCTCGTGTCCTGTCAAGTCCAGTTTATCACGTTGCTTTCTTTTTTTGCAGTTTGGTCCTCTAGTTGGCGTAGTTCAGTCTAGTTAGTCATTTAACGTTTTACGACATAACTACCTGTAATAATTTATCATAACTTCTGTACCTCCTCATTACACTGAGTTTCTCGTATCGATCGGTACTTTTTTTGAAATGGCAAAGCAGTCTCGTTGTGAAATTTGCTGCAAAGTCGTTGGACATCGAGCAAATGCGATTACATGCAATCTCCGCAGCGTAAAGCTTTATATTTCGTGCGTTGGTCTGACTGCAAACCAATTTCGTGTAATTCAGGGCATTCAGAACGAATTTTTGAACACCGTTTGTAAACAGTGCCACGCTAAACTTGTGCAGAATAGAACCGACACGTCTAACAAGCGGATCAGTACAATGAAGTGCTCTAAAATGCCCAGCTCGCCTTGTGCTACACCACAGTCAGGAAAGCAGCCAGTGCCTAGTACAACATCGCATCCATCCCGGAAGCAAGGTACTAAAGTTCCGTCAGGCTCTCACTCAAGGCCTACAATGTGTTCTGTTGACAGTAAAGCTCCAATTTGCAATAAGCAAATTGAGGATAACGAAGGGAAGGTGCAAACACCGAAGAAACCAAGAGCAATATCTAGCGACCTGAGGCGCCGTAGCCTCATGGTCTTTCACACACCTGAATCAGGTGATTCCAATCCTCAGGTGCGCTATGAACATGACGTCGAGTTTTTGCGATCATTGATTGATAGACTACTCGATGTAAATGAGGGTGGGCTCAAAGTGCAACAGATCGCCCGTCTAGGAAAGAAAATGGAGAGCAAAAGTCGGCCCATGAGGGTGACATTTGACGAAGAAGAAAGTCCCAAGTTACTATTGGCCCGTCTTAATAGGCTGAAGAGTCTAAAGATCCACGTACGCGCTGACTTAGACCCGGCAGACAGAGAGAAACTCAAGTCTGCTATGATTGAACTAAAGCGACGCATGGAGGATGGAGAAACAAATCTTCGTATTGTAAATTTTCTGGTAGTTGCCCGGATTCTTCAACGAATCCGGATCAACAGGTTTCTATTGCTTCAGGCGCGCCCAGCGGTTCCTACCGCGGTCTGCGCGTAGCCTTTACTAACGTGTGCAGTCTGATGAACAAGCACGATGTGCTATACGACTTTGTAAGCTCTCAGCGACCAGACGGATTTAGTCTTGCAGTGATATAGTTAAACTCCGACGTGACCGCCCAAGAAGTGGAAATCACCGGCTACTCATGCTTCCGCTGTGATAGACCATCAAATGATCGCGGTGGCTTTCTACTCTACATAAAGTCTTTCTTTTGTGGGAGACTAGTGGACGCCTACGAAAGCGCTGATGGTCTACGTGAGCAGTTATGGTGTTCGATTCACCTTAAACGCTGCGAGTTGCTCGTGGGCGTGGTATATCGCAGTCCACTGAGCCGCTGTTTGGACTGGTTACCGCAAGTCCGCAACCACATGAATCGTCAGATGTTCCTACTCATGGGCGATTTCAACTTGCCCCGAATGCAGTGGCCTGAAGCTGAACTTCTCCCCGGCCACTGTGAAGTCGAGAGGAAGTTTACGGAGTTGCTATTTGAAACCGGGGCCACACAGCACATCAACCAACCGACAGGCATTACTGCGCAAGCGACTCCATCGTGCTTAGACCTAGTTTTGATTAGCTGTGAGCAGCGTGTGCATAACATTCAAGTCTTAGAGCCGCTGGGAGCAAGCGACCACTCGGTGATCATAGCCAGCTTGGAACTCCCGCTGCCGTAATCTCCCCCACTGGAGTCACGTCTGAGAGAAAGAATTGTCTTGGAAATTCACTATTTTAGCGATTAATCGATTATTAACGATTATCGTTCAGGAATGTCCCACTTCTGCACGTGATTAAAAACCACCTGACACCTCGGCAAAAGATATGGGGAACCACTAACCTTGGTAGATGACCTTCCAATTCTAGTAGGCGAAGGTCAGTAAAGACTTATAAATGCAGCCAAGGTCCGCAGTCGTTGTGCAGTGTTCGTTGGCGGCGATTAATACGTTATTTTCTCAAGGTCATTGGCGTTTTGTTTTTTCCTTCGGTTGGGCTAGAAGATTTGTAGAGCAGCAAATTGTCATTGTTGGAATTGCGTCCAGTGAGAAGATTATAACAAGTCAACCTTCAACTATTGAAAGTTGTATTTACTGGCCACATTCGAGCAGCGATCCAGATAGACTGGTCTTTACCACAGTCTTTGTTTACTGAAACCTGTCGGACTATCATTAAAGAGGAAGTAAAAGCGTTCTGCGCCCGATTGGTACCCCCTCAAATGTCTGAAAGGTGGGCCAGTCAAACCACATTGGTTCGACAAAGAGTATAACAAACTGGCCCGACGACGACGCAGTCCAAGGAACAAATTCGTGTTATCTGGCTCTGATGAGGACTACAAGGCGTACAAGGTACACCGAAATCGCTGCAACAACGCGAAAACAAGAAAACCCAGAAGCTTCGAAGAGGAGCTTGCAACCGCCGAAAAAACTGCTCCCAAGAGGATCTTCGCATATGTGAAGCGGCGCCTAAGGCCTATAGCTAATATCCCAGTGTTAGAAGGCTCAGAAGGACAGCCTCTAACCTCGAGCACAGATCGTGCGTCCGAATTGGTTACGCACTTCGCCTCTGTATTTGCAAGTTACCAGGTGTCTGTAACCAGTTCGACGAGTACCGCTCCAGCCGAACGTAACAGCCTGGACTGAATATTGAGGATGTACGCAGGCTTCTAGCAAAGCTTGACGGGAAGAAGCCTGCTGGGCCAGATGGTATAAAACCACTGACACTCAAGTCCCTATCGGCCATCATCGCGCCTTCTACAACTGAACTGTTTACCAGGTCATTAGCCACTAGACTGTTACCAAGCGACTGGAAATGCCCAGTCGTAAAGCCCATACCGAAAGGTGGTAACCCAAGCAAAGTGGATAACTACCGGCCGATCTGCCTGACCGCTGTTTTGACAAAGACGCTCGAGAAGATCGTAAAGAAGAACCTTCTGCAGCTTATCGAATCGAAAAACCTGTTAACCTCCGCACAGCATGGTTTCATGAAAGGTCGCTCCTGCATCGCCAACCTACTGTTGACGAGGCACGAATGGTTACAAGCGCTGAACCAAGGCCAATCGGTCGACGTCATTTCCTTTGACTTCAATAAGGCTTTTGACAAGGTTGACCATGCAGTGCTCCTTGACAGTCTGAGGATGTGCGGTGTTGGTGGTTCGCTGCACAAATGGATCAGAAATTTCCTTGTTGATCGAAAGTGGAGGGTCCAGGTGGACAACCATCTAACTGACTGGTATCCATCGGGCAGCGGCGTGCCCCAAGGTACTGTACTGGGGCCGATATTGTTTCTGATCCATGTAAACGATGTGCCTCAGCTACTCCAATCACCATGTGCGTTGTTCGCAGATGACTTGAAGGTGTGGAAAGTAATCCGCACACTCAATGATTGTGAGTTACTTCAGCAGGACCTCGACCGGCTCTCGACATGGCCTGCAGAGTTTAACCCTCCGATCAACCCTGCCAAGTCGCAAGTTATGAGACTGGGTTAGTGTGAGCACAGCCGAACGTACACAGTAACTGGTCAACCGTTGCATCCCGCGCCTTTCGTGCGCGACCTCGGTGTGCTCTCACACTGCGGCCTAAAGTCCACTGACAACGCGAATAGGCTGTACAAAAACAGCCTTCGGATGCTTTGGGCCCTCAGGCGTAGCTTCAGCACTTCGTCCGAAGAGATTGCTACTCGCCTCTTCGTCACGATAATACGACCAACGCTAGAGGACGGCTCTCCCGCGTATTGTCCCATCACCTTGGGCGAGGTAGAAAAGCATGAGCGGGTGCAGCATGTAGCCACCAGGCTGATTCCCAACTTACGAGGTATGCCATACGAAGACCGATGTAAGAAACTAGGGCAGTACACCCTAGCTTATCGTCGTCTGAGGGTTGACCTCACCATGACGCACCGGATATTACATCTGAGTGATTACGCCATGTTGAGACAACTGCTTCATCTGCGCAAACCAAGCTGTACGCGCGGACACCAGTATAAACTTAGCGTACCGAAGTTGAAGCGGGTCGCTCACCAACTCTGTTTCGAACGCAGAGTGGTGATGTCAGGAACGACCTGCCGCAGCACATAAATAAAAAAAATGGTATATTCCCGGTAAAACGAGACACACCTGTAAAGGCGTGATCAAATATGCATACAAGCATAACTTCTTTGAAACGTTAAAACGTTTCGTTTTAATGAAAGGTATAAAAGAAAAGATGTAGTTCATATGAGTGAGCATATTGTCAGGTAATAGTCAGACCAAGGAACAACATGGCGCTGTGGCGCGCAAAAATCCGTCAAGACACAAGTTGGGGGTAATTTCGCCAGGTAATGATCCGTGAGCACAGGAGCCCAAACCAGGTTTTGGTGCAACCAACGACCATTACGAAATAGTGATGAGCTGTGCTCAATCAAAGCATTCTTCATAGTAGGATTGGTTGCATAGGTTGGATGCGGAAGGCTGAGGAGTGCGTCAGTGTGAGATGTTTAGCTGTGACTTTATTTTGTGGCGAGTCACATCCGCCACGTTGCAGTGTTGTTAAGCGGACATTTGTGGTTTTTTATAGGGAGAACGCTTGCCAGGCGAAAACCCACCACGTCCTGGAACACTGCCGTAGCTTCCGTTGAGCAGTAGTGCAAGTCGGCTATGCGTCGTACAGACCGATTTTGCACTCTATTATTCGCAGTCGGTTGACAGCCAAAGTTCTTCGTTGGTTGGCCGAGTGGCTTAGTACTGATACGGCAGCAGTCGTTGAAGCCGGTCAATGATGCAAAAGATTCGAAGAGTCGAATGATAATGATGCAGGTGAGTAAACACATTGTTAATAGAGGCCGGCTTTTCTGTTATATTCTTGTTCTGCTCGCAAACCGTGTCCAGCTATCCACGCTGGACTTGTCATGGGGTCGGTGAGTGAAGTTGTTTCTTGTGGCTGAATATGTCCATAACAGGTAAAAATGCCATTCTCCGCAAAGTGGATTCGGGATTCCTTCAAAGGTAAGTAAGTTTAACTGTCTCCATAGCCAAGTGAAAATTCTATGAAAGGCCATCGGAAAAGTCACATATACGAACGCAACGCTGTCCGTGAAATGACATCAGAATAGCTCCAGGAGACTGGCGAATAGGAATGTTTGAGGCAATGAAGGTAACCACGCCAGAGTTGTTTGTCTTGGGTTGTGGAACGGGGGATCCATGTAAATATATTATTCTAGGTGAGTAAATTGTTCTCTCTGAGTACGAGGTGAGCTAAACCCATTTGTTTAGGCCCCGTGAATGTAGCGTCTCCAGAATGGCGGAAGGAGCTCCATTTGGAACGATGTGTGGGTTCTTCGTTTAACGGAGCAAGGACCAAGCGTTTGAGGATAAGTCGACCAGTCCCAGTGGATAAATGTTCTTGTCTTGGCGGATGTAACTGTGGGAATCTCGGAAAAAACGGGCAACGGACAAGGGGCAGCCAAACAGAGAGACAGCAATGAATCAAGGAGCAGTAACACAGACTGGTAGCGCTCACCGGTGCCTATGATACATTAAAACTTATGTAGTTTTGTTTAGTATACATGATTTGCAAGCGCGTTCTATATATTACGTCGCTGGTATGACTCAGACTATAGCTACTAGGCAGAAAGAAGGTTCTGCACGCGCAGGGTCAAAAGACCAATATAACAAACGTTAAGCGAATGATGCGATGGTTGGAGAGAAATAGGTAAACCGATGATGATGGCAGCAGTCCGAATGCGAGAGGCATCTTAGGTGAAACTAAGGACAACTAGGTTGAGACCGAATGCGGGAGCAAAATAGGTAAAGCAACGTTCCAAGAGGAAATTCAAGGAATCGGCTAGAAGCGGATGAATGTTGATGGCAGTGTGAGGAGTAGTTCATAAGAGTAATTACGCTAAAGCGCTCATGATTCCACCGTCCAAAAGCCGTTAGAATCTAGAGAAAATGGTCACAAGCGGCCAAAGCTGTCGTGCATTGGGAGTCGTTATGAAACGTACGGTCTCAAGAATAGACAAATGCGAGCATAAGGTAAAGAGCATAGGAAGAGTGGTAAGTTGAACGTACTAATGGAAGTACGACTCAAGAAATACTTAGCAATGGTCCGAGTGCCGCCAATAATCAGGAGTGAGCTCGGAGCGAAGCAGACCAGGCGCACGAGGAAAACTTGGATAATTGCAATGAGTGCAGGCCGTGGGAATAAGAAGACGGAGCGCAATAAGAGAAAAGACCACGGATAATAGGAAAATAAAAGCAGGCAGAAAGAGACAGACGGGTCAGGTGTGATAAAAGATAACCGCAGGGCGGTAAAGCCGGCCATCCAATTTAAAAAGGAAAGAAAACAGAAAGCGTAAGAAGTAGCAGACTGAGGGAAACAGACTAGGCAGGTTAGCCAAGATCACGGCAATGCAGTAAAGCCGGCCGTCCAATTTAAAAAGGAATGAAAACAGAAAGCGCAAGAAAAGGTTATGGTCTAGATGAGATGGGATTATTGGTAAAAAATGGAGAAGCTCACGAGGCTCTCCTAGTAATGTAAACAGAACCATTAGGTCAGCCGAACCGCGAGGAGTGATGTCTCAGAAGTCCAAATGTATTCATTGAGCATGAGGCCAACTAAGCGGGACTGGATTAATCGGCGCTTTGGGGCTAGGCGTATAAAGAAGGTAAGAAAAGGGCTATAACACTAACGAGGGAACTAGTCTAGCAGTCTCTACGATTTGTAACGTCGAAGAACTCTGAGTGAAATCAGAAAACAAGTGGCCAGTCTGGCGAGACTGAGTTAGTCAGCGCGTAGGAATAGAACGTAGAATAAACGCGGGAAAAATTGGCTGTAACAAAAGAAGGTGAACGAGTCTATCAGCCTCCCGAGGTAGAGGAACAAGAGCGTTGAGTCTTCATAGCATATACCACTTAAGTCAGAGAAGCAGTGGAGCATTCAGAGAG